CAAGGCACAACGCTCTACTATGAGCTCTTTTTAGTACCATCGAAAACCTCAAGGTATAAACCCTCCCCCCAGCAATCAATATGAAGAAAGCTTATTAAAGATCCTTTCATTAAAAGAGCATACACAGAGGGGAAAGAAAAAAACAAAAAAAACAAAAAAAACACCAAACTACCTACTGCTAACATGCTGCTGGACATAAAAAAGCCCCTAAGAAACACCAAGTGACAAACCGCCCCAGTAGCCCTGGACTGGAAGGACTGGACACACGCTGCACACCTTCTGCTCCTCCCACCTGCAACCCCCGCGACAGGGGGAACAGGGGGTCCTCAGGCACCAGGGGAGGGGAAAATGTGAATTTTACAGGGAAAACTAAAAGGGTAAGAATGCATTTAAGAGTTCACCAAAAAATGGATTAAAAAAAAAAAAATAAAAAAGCTGTTTGAATCAGTACCAGATTATTCCCAGAACTGCCCGCGTCCTGCAGCCGTGCTTTAACCTATGAGACAGCTATGAGCAGAAAGTTTCAGACTTCCAAAAGACAGATGTGACCATCAGCTGCAGCTCTGGATTTCACGTCTGGAAAGCTCATTTCCAAAAGTATTTCAACACTGACTACAAGTAAGCACTCTCTCTCAATGGCAGGGGAACATGCTAGTCTCAGGTTTTCTCACCCAAGCACAAGCAAAACCCAACTGATTCTCGGTCAAATATGTCATAATTAGCTCCCTCCCACGCCGCATGGCAAAAATCTGTTCTGCCTTCAGCAGCTCATATACTACTTGAGAAAGCTGCCCTGGGTGTTTTTAAGCATAGCTGTAAGTCACTCGAGACTGTTAAAGTGGCATCTGTTACAGCACCATGAACATGGTTTAGGGTTTTTTTATTTTTTAAGAATTATTATCCCAGCATTACTTCAAAGATGTAGGACACACAGCAGCTTTCGGATGTGCTTCTGTAGGGTTCTTCAAGTTATTTTTAAAAGGGCCTGTGCCTCAAACATTCTGCCAATACAAAAGAGCCTCAGTTTGAAGCAAACTTTTAAAAACCACTAGTCTGAAACCCAAAAGGGACAGTTATTTGCCTGGTATCCTGTAAACTGTAATTTACTATGTTAGTAATAGCTAAAACGTCCAGCTTCTGAATGTCTCAAAGTGTATATTGTTCATTATATTCTTCAAGATTTTGCATTTGAAATAAGCAAGTTACCATAAAGGATCTGGACAACTTGGAACACAAGCTCTGTTTCACAGCTGTACTTGTTTTCCTTCCCCTCAGCTCCCCAAAGTGTACACAGCGCTCTCGCCCAGTCTAGTGCAGGAGGAGATTAAAAAGGTGAGGAACATTTAAATTATAATCCTGCACTTTAGACACCTTCTGAAGTACTATCTTAGCACAGTGTTAGAATATCAGGTGGAGGTAAGATTAAAGAGTGGGTGTAAAAGAGGTGGGTTGATATTAAGCTGAATATTACACTCACTCTGAACTGTCTGTTTTGGTTTTGGAGTCCAGGGTATCTTTGCAGGTCTAGTATTTCTAATTAAGTCTGAAGAAACTTGTATTAGACAGAATCCATTACGCAGTTTATTACTGCCCCATTCTCATTATCCTCCCGTTTCTACAAGGTCCAATAACAAGCTATACATTAGCTAAGCCCTGTTTGAAGTAGCTTTAGTGTTCTGTACTCCTAGCACAAAATTTCATGACTCAGATTCATGTAATCAAAACTGCAAACCGCTTGCTTCAATACTGTGTAACAAATTTGTGATGAAACTGTTTTGCTCACGATCTCTCTAAACTTCAAGCATTAAAAAAAATCAGGACCTTACATTCTTTTGATCATCATCATTATCAACATAAAACCTGAGCTCAATTCTGCCTAAACCTAAGATAAAAGTTTAATAACAAGTCAGGCCTATTTACCCTTTCAAGTTAGTGCCCTCTCCCCTCCTCCGTCCGTGTCATGAATGGAGAAGGAAAAAAAAAAGTTTGATTCAGATCAGTGAACCCGAACCAGCGGCAGTTTGGGAATCACAATGAGGGGGCAGTGATGCATTGGAAATCACTCCAGCACCCTCAGCAGTGAGCTGAGTCACAGAACACAATATTCTCTTTAAGCAAACAAAAACAAAACAAGAAAGCAAACAACCCGAAGCTGGGAAGTATTTTTCTTCCAGTAAAACCGCAGTTTAGGGAGGGCAGATGAAGTTCCCTACCTGACAGAATTTAATAAATACGGGATAGCTCCTTTCTAGGAAGCAAAGGGTAAATGCATCTGCTAAACATTTTCCTTAGGAATGGATTTAACAACAAAGGCAAAGAGACTGAAAGAGTGGGATGTAGAAGGAAAGAAAAGACAGCACTCAGTCATGCTAAAAGTCTCCAAAAGTATTAAAAATATCAGTTACACACAGGCACTCTACACCTCTTCAGGATACAAGAGGTTTAAGAGGGAAGCTTTATTTTCAGTGTTCAAAATGGAATGTTGAAGTGTTTTTCTGCGTTACAGAAGAACTTTCTAAATATTAAAATAAAAGCTTTATTGCACTAGAAACTGATAAGCTGCTTAAAGAATACAGATTTCTCAAGTTATGCCTGCTGTAGCTCAGAGACACGATTTACCATGTGAATGAAAACCGGTATCTTTATAATCCAGAATTTGAAGTCATAACTAAGAAACAGATACACACCACCGAGTCACAACACGATATTAAAGTTTGGCAAACTACTTTCAGCCTGGACTATTCTGAAATCTGTTCATCCCTCCATGAGCCCCGACAAGAGAACAATGCCCACAACCTGCCCTCCTGCTACACACCACAAATATTTTATGCTGTCTTTATAGAAAACTGTTAGGCCTGGTTTTGGAGCAGTGCTTTATCATTTTTTCTTTTTAGGATTAGAAAGAAATCACCAACCCAAGCTCTTACTATTCTCATGCTTAATTTCCTGCCAATGCCCATGTTTTTATGCACAGAGTTTCTTTCACTTCATTTTAATGCACATTTCATTTCCAGAAAACTTCAATTCACAGCAAAAACCATCAGCTGTAAGTCTCTTGCCCCTCTGCAGCTTGAGAGAGACAAGGGAAAAACCCCAAGCACAGGGCTGTAGTTATTTTGCTGTAGCAGTAGTAAGCAAAACGTTTAACATAAACACAATTTCTAAACACATTATCTCTTGAAAGATATTTTTAAATGAAATATTTACAGTACAGCTGAAAGGAAATAATCCAGGGGTTTTTTCTCCATTTTTTAAGAAGTTTTTCTTTATAACACAGATTTTAGTCATATGAGGGGAATAAAATCACACAGGAATTCTCCTGTCTTTGGGGGTGCTTTTAAAAAGAAAAAAAAGCAAACCCACAACTCTGCAACAGCAATCAGTGTGCCTTTGACTGAGCAGACAAATCTTTGAAGTGCTGAAAGACTAACTTTGGAAAAAAAAAAAACTTCTCGGACTGGCAGCTTTCAACGTCTTCTAAATTTGATTCCAACCAACAAAACAAAGCAGAGGAAAAAAAACCACTGAGGCAAACCACACATTTCTGAGCAGCCCCAAGCAGTGCTGCCAGACTTCGAATGGCATGCGAGCTGAGTCAGGCTTATACCTTCCACTATTAAAGGCTACACAGTTTTAAGCTCCTGCAATACCTTCTGCCTTTAGACACTTAGTTTTAAAGTGAAACTAGGAAAAAAAAAACCCTACCATTTCAGTGTTTAAGACTAATTAAAAATAGAAAAGCCAGCAGGAGCCTGCCCCTTTACTGCTCTCTCTGTTGACAGAGAAGTAGACAAATATCAATGTCCACCACCGATTAAATATTTCCTCTTAGTACTCATCAATTATTGACTAGACACACATTTCCAGAGAGTGGAAAACATCATTTCCAACACAGAGTGTTTTCGATCCCAGTAGGTGAATGACTGTAAGGAGTTCAGTGGGTCACTAACACCAAAACAAGGATTAGACCCAAAGTCGCAGCGCCTGCACAAACACCGCCCTTCACTCAGTGGACACCGCTAACACCACTCACAGCTAATTACTACTTTTTGCTCCCACCAGGAGACCAAAGAGCTTAACATATGGATAGGAGCGCCTCTCCTCTTTCCCATATTCTTCCTGCCCACCCCAACGCCCTTATTTTGTGTGCACACCTCAAACTGCACTACCTGAAGCTAGGTCAGGCCGCTGGTTCCATGAAAGCCAGCAGCCTTCTCTCCAAAGTCTCAGACCTGGGAAACATCGCTCCGAGCCTGCCCTTCCTCTGTGACAGGCGGTCCTCACCTGCCACGCAAAAGGCACATCCCTCTGCACAGCCAGGAACCAGGACATGGCTTCTCCAGAGGATACTCTGGAGACCGGAGCTCAAAAGGAGCACACCAAACCTTCAAGAGGAAAAAACTTGAGTTCTCTTTACATAAGATTCAACTAAATAAATGCAGGCAGATTTGCACATGACAAACACTAATGACATTTCACTTACATCTGTTGAAAGAAACAGATCTAAGCCCAAATTTCAATGTCTAAACTCACTTTGGCAATTTTCAGCTTTCCCTATTCATGGCACAAATAACAAAATATCAAGTTCACAAAAAAAAAAATTAAGGGCCACCTAGTTATAAGACAGGAAGAAGAAACCAAAAGTGAAGGAAAAAAAGAGCTACCATCACCTCAGGACAAGAATTCACAATATGAAATACAATTAATGTTTATACTAGCAAAATTATTTTATAAAAAAACCAAGGCAGACAAGAGTTTGATAACACCTCTAACTTCTTAGAAGAGTCCCACAAATCCTTTAGGCCAAGGACCACGTCCCCTTTCACCTCTGCTCAGCAGTTAGGGTGCTGCGCTATGACGAGACTGGTTGTGCTGGAATAACACAGAAGGTTATAAAAAACATTCACCTCACTCTGAAGGCTGCATTTTAGTATTAAACAGAGAACCTAATTCCTACAGTTAAGCAAGCATGAAAGGAAAGTGCTTGTAAAGTTACCAACCTTTTCTCGCAGCGTTACACTTCAGCCCGTCGGATCTGCTGAAGTCTATGCTCACGTAAGCTCCACTGTCCAAACCTGAAGTACCATTTTGGAGATGGCAAGTTGGCGCTGTAGTACTTGCCTCACAGCTTATAGGATCATCGCGTAAATTCAGAGCGATGTAGTTTAAGCCATTCTGAAATCCAGTTGAGGTATCTCTGGACATTTTGCTTTCCTGACCATCAGAAATGTTTTCATCCGGTTTCAACCAAACATTGTCAAATGAGGCAGAGCTGTGTCTTTTGCTACTATCAGTAAAGAAGGAGGAGGAGGTCGTCACAGTCCCAGCAGAAGAGAATGTTTCAGAACTGTGTCTCCTCCTGCCTTGAGGATCAGCTCGAATCACTTTCGGTCCCATGGGAGGTTCAGAGCTGGGAACAGGGAAGCTACTGCTGCCAGCATACCGATCAACAATGCACAGTCTATTCACGATGGAAGAAGGGCTCTCAATCTTTACGCCATCGTCGGATTCGGCAGCAAATGGCCGAGGTGGGGTTGCTGCCATGTTGAATGTCATCTCCGTGTAGTCATCAGTCCTGTTACTTGCGGTGCTAACACACGCAGTACCAAACGAAAGCCTTGCGTAGTCAGGGTTTGGTTGGCTTCTAGGAATACTGGAACTTGCATAAATCGAAATATCTGTTAGAGAGTTGGACAGTTCCTTCGCTGCTTTCGGTGACTGTACATCCAAGTCAACACTCATATAATCGGAAAGCGGGGACTGTCTGTGGTCGCTACTTGAGCCTAGAGATGATGGCGATCCTTCTGCAGATAAGGAATACGGTGTATTACTCGCCTTTTCATTAAAATCAATATTGATGTACTCACCGGGACTCGCTGGCTCAGGTGGAACTGTACGACCATACATCCTGGGGATAGTGTTACTCCCTCTTGTACCTAGGGGGAGTCTCGTGGGCCTGGGAGCCCTGTTCTGCACAAGTCCTTCATCTGAACCTTTCACCACTGGCAATTTAGAGATGCCATTAGCCAGAGCTTCACTGTTGACCCCTTTTCCATTTTCTGGTCCACTATACAAGAGTTTTCCAGGTGAAGACATTGGAACATATTCACTGTGGTCACCATTTTGTCCTGATAATGCCTTAAAGCTTCGGGGCAAAGAAAAATAGGAACTGAAACCTTTGGGAACAGAAGCAGTATGAATATAATTCGAATCACCGGGGTGCTTTGGAGCTGAATTACCAGGCGACATATCCATATACTCATTGTTTATGATCTTCTCATTACTTCCTTTAGAAACAAATCCAGTTAAAGGACTTCGGACAGGTGAAGAGCTAGCCTTTGGGAACATCATCATATATCCTCTGGAGTCAACCTGAGACGATGACCATGAATTGTTAATCTGTTTTGGAACGGACATACTTTTAGGAGTCATTGGCAAATAATCACTGTTGCTGGATAGAGAAGATGCAACTCCCGGCATCATTGGCATGTACCCATCATCTCTGGCTTTACTCCTACTTTGGTTACATATGGAATCAAGGCTAGCATCATTGTACTCCAATTCATGGTTATCTTTCAATTTTGGTGTTTCAGAGTAAAGGAATCGTCCATTATTTCCTGCAGAATCTTCATCTAATGAAGCTGTAGTTTGTGTCGTCTTCTGCTGCACTGCTACAGAGGTTGGTTTTGTTAGAGAGTAAGTTCTTTTCCTGAAACACTTTTCAGCCTCCATATAATCATCTCGTGAACTATCATCTGCCTGTTGCTTACTCATGGACATGTACTCACTCAGACAGTTCTCCTCTCTGATGGGCGGTGTGTTTCCCAGGGAATCCGGTGTATTGCTCCTGACCCGAAAGTACCTGAAATCTCCAGGGCTGGAGCCATATTCATCAGAAGAGATAAATCCCCCATCGCTTGGGGAACCACAAACGGATGAGCTAGAAGGCCTGGTCAACATGTCCGAAGCAGAGCCATGGCCACTACTGGAAGAAACACTGATGGGACTTGTGGTGGAGGGAAAGTGAGAAACAGGCAGCGAAGCAGACCTGGTGTGGTAAGACGAGCCGAAAGCGGCTCTCACGTACCTTCCGCTCCCTTCTTGCCGGCCCAAATTCATCCTCGCAGTATTCAGGTGGATCAGACTCCCAGTCACTGACCTAAAAGGTCTAGTCATGGTTCCCTCTCCTTCGCTGGATGTTCTGAAGCGATAGGAGTTGCTGCTTTTGGTGGTAGGAGGAGTCCCTCCAGCAACACTCTCAGTTCTAGATCTTCTCTGCAAGCCTGTCTGGCTGGGGGGCAGGTTGCCTAAGTGCCTCCTGGTGGTGATGAAGGAGATGGGATTGGTACCACTACCACCACCAGAAGACTGGCTCTTGCTTCGAGGCCTGAACTCTGCAAAGGCCTTTAGAGCTTTCATGGTCTCCAGAAAAGTCTCATGCATATTCTGCGCAACCACCGAATCATCCACTTGCATCCAGAGTTCTCCAGGCCCAATGGAGGCAGATCTGCCCACTTCGATGAAGAAGAAGTTCTCCGAGTGTCCACAGCGGCGAATATTCATTAGCTGCAAGTGGACGGAGGGCACCTCTGAGTTCAGCTTGACGAGGTGGATGGCCTTGCTGGAGAGGCACAACCTATACACTCCAGTAAGATTTTTCGTTTGCCCCAACCCTTTGGGCTTGACGTT